AAATAAATAAATAAATAAATAAATAAATAAATAAATAAATAAATAAATAAATAAAAGGAGACATGTTGCCCGACACTATTTATTATATACAAGATTACAGCAAGCAGCTACACTGCACTAAAGTATTCTTAAATATTGAATCAGATATATTTATGTCATTATTTACTCATTTTCAAATGTACTGGGGTTATGCCTTTGAATCTCTTTGCTTTCATCATTTTAACAGTAAAACAAAGATAATGGATGACATAAGTGAACTTTCTGCTCCTGCAATGGTGATATTCATTAGACCATCATTCTAAATGTAATGTGTGACTAAACACAGTTTATTTTTGTTGACCTTGAATGTCCTTGCTTACCCTCTAATTGGACAGAATTTCCTCCAAAAGCTGCTTTGTTGAACAACCCAGATTAACCTCCATATTAAGATTTATGACAAGTCACTCTTGCCCATGTTTGCAGTCTTATACTATGGCTGTGCGCGCGCTGACATGGATATCAGAAAAATGAAAATTTCACTCAATTCCAAGTAGCAGGGCTATATCTTGATTTATTATTGGCCCTGAAGATGTATTGTGTAAAATCTAGGGCAGTTCAATGACTGATGAAATGTTTGCCCAAAAAAAGGATTAGTCAAGCCATTGGTTTTTTCAACTGATTGATTCAGAAGAAACATACACTGCCATTTTTTACCAGGTGAAAATCAGTGAGTAAACAAAACTGTGGGGAGAGCACACACCCCTGGGGAGAGGGGCGATGGCCTGACTGTATGAATGCATCAGTTTTCATTTTTCCCCTTCTGCAGTAACTCTCCTCTTTATTCAATGAGTTGTAAGTTTCTGGATCTCTCTTTTAGACATACATACAGACTTTCATTACAAGTGAATTCATCAGTATAAAAATGAACTACTACCATCCCTCAGAAATACTAGACTCTTCCATTAGGAGACTTCAAAATGCATTGGGTTGGGTTGGTTTTGTGGTACGGAATTTGGGTTAGGTACTGGGTTTTTTGGTGCAAAGCTAAATTTAATGCCAGATGTAAACAAAGAGTGCAACTGTCTCAGGTGAGTCCACCGGGTGGAAAACACCTTTCCCCCCTCCTTTCTCTATAGGTAAATTAAACAAACCCTGGTGAGCAGGTAAAGCCTACATGATGTCTGACATGCTTCCATTTCACTATAGTTTACATTTATATTTTATTACATTACAGTACGAGATAAAATTTGGGACAGTGTATTTGAGAGGTGGCAGGGTCGATGAGCTTTTTGATATTTCTCCACTTTGAGATAATTTGGCAGCTCACTGGGTGATGGATCAGCAGCAGTTGTGTGCCAGAGTTTCTATAAATAATTATGATTCAGTTTCATGTTGATTTCACTTGGATTTGTGAAGAAACTCTCAGGGACCCCAGCCGGTATCATTTAAGATATGTGTATTTATCTTCTGTATGAGCACTAAAGTATGAATGAAAAGCACATTTCTGTTTCAAGCAATTTGTGCTTCACAGCATGTACCATGTGTGTGAGATTTTTTTTTTTTTGTCCAAACTTTTTTATGTGGAAATCGTTATTATGCAAATCCAGAGTAACTCCACCCCAACCCACACATGCATGCACATACACGCATGTAGGTGAACACACGAAAAAAATGCGTCCTTTTTTTTACACATTTAATTACCAACACTTACTAATAGGTCTTTTTGCAGAAGCAGAACATGTAAATTTAAGTTGCATCATTTTCTAACATTTTCATTGTAGAATGGGGGGGGGGGGGAGCATACTTCACTGAAATCAATGGGAACTAAGGTCTATGAAAAATGGAATCAGGTCAATGGATTTCCAAAATCTTATAATTTAACTAATTTTGATATCAAATACTGGTGTCATAAATCTTGGAATAATGTTTGGGTTTCACAGTTCATTTACTATTTATTTTCATGATGCATGTTGATTTACAGTTTGCAGAGACAATATTCAGAAAATCTGATAACAAATATTATGGAGATGAATATCTATAATATGCATTTAGCATCATGTTTATGTAATTCTGACACTAAACATCATGATGATGGATTTGTGTGCAGCTTTCCCTTAAATGTCCTTTAGTAGCATTTGAGAATACATCAAACTTAATAGTCTGGTAAGAGTGTGACAATGCTTGAAATCAAGATAATGGATGTTTTTCTAGTAACATGACTGATACTTTGATATTTCTACCCTGGCGAGGTTGGCAATTTTACACCATTTCTGTGACAGTTGAGAACAAAATAATTGTGATAAATCTCCTGTAATTTACAATAGTTAGTAAAGACACAAGGGCAGCATTCCTCTTGCTTTATTAATGTTAATGAAATCATACTTCAAATTTCTCTTAGTATCCCTTTCAATTTTCTTTTAAAACTATTTTTATTTTATTTCAACGCATCTTGTTCCTAGTGTTAATTTTATGGACATTTCCAACATCTTCCCCAACAGTACATAATCTGATGTATGCCTGAGTGGTTGCGTTAGGTGTGACTTAGTAGAACCGAATTGTGTTGGAATCTCACCTAAGCTCTTCATAGAGTATTACAATGTGCTATATACTGATACAGCTGTCACATGCTTTGTGCGTGCAGGTGAATTGGTTGATTAGCTGGGCACTGTGACATGCATTTATCTTCATCAGCTCAAATGAAATGTAATAGTTAAGCAAGGAAAGTTGTATATCACTCATGCACTATAAACCCATTGCTTAATCTGCCACCAGGTTGCTTCAGTAGGTATAGCCTCCCCTTTTATCTTAATGCACCCTGAGTGTCACTGTATCCTCTGTAAGCAGAACCAGTTTGCTGCATATAAAGGTGCCAAAACTTGGATAAAAGAGACACTGTTAGTTGCTGGCATGTCTGTCTCCAACCTATTTTTTCCCAAGTCACCTTTAACCACTGTGCATTTATTCCAGCCTGATCTATTTTTGCCCTCTACCAGGGCCAAAGATTGATTTTTCACTAGATATTCACAGATATGTCTCTGGTTAAATTCATGGTTATTCTCTGTACTGTAATGAAATTTCAAGGATGATTACATAGCTGGTAATTTTTGCATGACAACTCGGGCACTGCCACTTAACAAGTATCCCTGACAGCAAATAAGACAGTTAATTGCTCTTCTGCGACAAGAAAAAAAGCCCCTTATGAATAGTTTGTTACTTCAGGGTATTCCTTCAAACCGAATGACTAGTTTCAGCAGACAGACAAGACAAGAGAGGTTGTGTAACAAGCATTAATCACATCAGCACAAACCCCAGCTCCCACTGAGCTCCTGTAGAGCAGGTACAAAGTCATCTGCACTTGTGCAGATTTAATGGCCATATGGCCAAAAGTTACCTGGTCGCTTCAGAGTAAATGTCCACAGAGGGTAACCTATGGGACCATTCCCAGGCCCTATCACACTAACTGTGATCGATCTATCTCCGAGTGGATTCTCGCTAAATTGCAATCAACTTAAGGGGCTTAGATGTCTGTCGCCCACTGAAGCTATTAGGGAGTAATTAATTATCGTTTAGGAGTTGTAGTAGATATCTAAGCTGCTTAAGCTGAAAGCAATTCAGCAAGAAACCCGCTGGAGATGAATTGATCCTGTTAGATCAATCTATGTGTGGGAACCCAATCTATTTTTATGAAAAGTTAACTATTACATTTTGTTTACAGCTTGATGAGCTAGGTAGGGTGCTCTGCAACATATGCACCCTGGTTCCCGGGGGTGTGGTTTGCTTCTTCCCTTCTTACGACTATGAGAAACTTGTGTATACTTACTGGGAGAAATCAGGGTGTCTAGTCAGGATTGCAGCTAAAAAGAAGGTAGTTGACTATCCTTTAAGTATTCTTACTTACACAGTAATTAGACCAAAAATTAATGAACTGTGTCAGAACCACAAAGCACATTAAAAAATAATTAACAAATTGTCTGATTCCATTAATTCTTATCATGTAATATTAATAACATTGTTTTTATTACAGTTTTATGAGATTTATTTACCTCTTTCTGATATTTTATAATGCAACAAAGATAATATTTTCAGATATTCCGTGAGCCAAAGAAAGCCAGCCAGGTGGACTCCACTCTAACAGAGTATGCCAACTGTATCTATAATTCCACTGCTGTCTCAGGAGCTGTGTTGTTCTGTGTGGTAGGAGGCAAGATGAGTGAGGGCATTAATTTCTCTGATCAGCTGGGCAGGTAAAGCTCATTATTATTATTATTATTATTATTATTATTATTATTATTATTATTATTATTATTGCCTTTCATCTTGGTGACTGGCTGCCTCTGAGGGTGACATTTCTGCCTGATAAAAGATTGAGTCTTATAATACAATTGGATTATAAATGTGCCAATAACCACAACTGTACTATTAAGTTTCTAAAATTGAACAATTATATGGTAAAAACCTGAAAGTTTCAGCACTAAAAAATTAATGAATATTTTTAAATGCTTGAATCCAACCCGGCCATATTAGGAGTCAAAACATTTCGAAATTATCGAGAGGCCCATTGTCAATTTTGATGAAATTTTTATAAGTGAAAAAAAAACTGTTAGTAAAGAATCATCTTCAGACAAACTTTTCAGCTTTTTACTGTATAAGATAAGTGAAATGCTTTCAGTGTTTTCATGTTGTATTTGTTGCATGTCAGGTGTATTGTAATGGTGGGTCTACCATATCCAAACATAAGGTCACCAGAACTCAAAGAGAAAATGGATTATCTCAATGCAAATGTGGTAAGATCTCTCTCTCTCTCTCTCTCTCTCTCTCTCTCTCTCTCTCTCTCTCTCTCTCTCTCTCTCTCACACACACACACACACACACACAGGCAAATATAATGTCAAATGTTAGTCTAAAATGTGAATGAAATAGTTCAGATTACTGAAACTTTCAAATTTAATTTTATTAAGACTTTTCATATCTGTATGTGGTGTATCATGTAAGCCTGCACCAGTCTTTGCTTTCTTTATAAAGCCAAAAGGACTTGATGGGAAGTCTGCAGGCCAGCAACACTATGAGAATCTCTGTATGAAGGCAGTTAACCAGTCCATAGGTAGATGACATATTTATCTTTGTATGCAAACCAAATAACATCATGTGCCAGAAAAATAAAAGAAGTAGAGATTGAACTGTGTGTGTCATTCATGGCTTTTAGAATTAGTAATCATTTGCCCCATACACATAGAATTAGTGTGCGTGGGACTTTTGCTGAATGCAATCAGTTTAACAGATTAAAAGGCCTTCTCCGGCATTAAATATAGAATACAGAAAAGCTGGTGATTATACGAGTACATGCAAACTCGAGGAGGCGTGTTATTCGGTTAAGCTGATTGCACTCAGCCAGAGTCCCTGCAGAGTTGGGTTGATTTACATAGACCGTCATAGTCTGTGTAGTTCAATAATTATTTATATTCCATATATGTTGATTAACTTCCCCAGCTTCACCCACTCATTACTTACTTTCTAGGTCGTGCAATTCGCCACCTCGCTGACTATGCCACAATCTTGTTACTTGACCAGAGGTACCAGCGGCCATCTGTGTCCAGTCAGCTGCCAGACTGGATAGCAAAGGATTTACAGAAGATGGACAAATTTGGCAGTGCCTATGCAGCCATTAGAAAGGTAACTGTGCACATTTGTGGAATCAGATACTCAGATTATTGCTGTAAAAAGATTGCTTTGTTGTTTGCCCTGTCATGTTTGCAGCATTACTGAGATAAGGCAAAAAGATAAAATTGTAAAACAGATGCAGTGTACAGTTAATTTTTTCAGTTTCATATAAACATATACAAGGCATTTGTTACTCAATGATAAAAAGAGACACCTTCCCCTCATTCATTCATTCACAAAAGAAAAATATTACTTGCACCTTCCCCTCATTCATTCATTCACAAAAGAAAAATATTACTTGCGAAAAAAATGTAATGTAGTACATGCAGATTTACATTTAAGTAATAAAAGAAAATCTTAGTAAGCTGTGTTGAATTTCTAGTAGTATAGATAGCATCACCACCTTCCAGTCATATTAAGACTTTCTCTATACTTTCCTGTCTTTATTTTTATTTTTATTATTTTTTAATAGACCATGTGCCTTTTGAAGACCCAGTAGGTACAAGGACTGGAAATCTATTTTCTTTTGATTTTCGTTATTTTTTGCAGGCATCTCATAGAGGTTTTCTTCTATTCTGTCTCCACAGAGTGTCTGTGAGATATATCGTGATATGAAATAGCATAGTTAATTATCATTGATGCTAATTTTTTTCTCATTCTGATTTCAGTTTTTCAGTGGTAAGAAGTGATGAGACAGAAGCAGAAGCTGTTATATGTAATCTGAGGAGTGAAAGGGAGGAGTAGCATGTTTGCCAGGTCTTTGTTCCTAGTTGTCCATCTTTTTTTCTTAAATTGTGTGCATAAAATACTTGGGAGTAGATAACTTCTTATTTCTTAACAATTAAATACAGGTAAAACTTAAGTTTAATTTATTTTTATTCTTATAAACAGATGACTTCACATTTATTGCTGAGCATGAAGTATCTGATATTTATCTAAGTATTTATGTTTGTTTATATTTGTGTACTGTTACGTACATTAATTAGTACATAAGCAGAAATGTGTACTGCATTCTGATATTTTTGTTATGTCAGTCTTTATATGATCATGTTGAAAAGTTAACATATTTTCATAAATAAAGAAGTTTGCTGTTACCAGTAGTTCATGTACATTGATTTCTCCATATTCTGAACAATAGTTCCTTAACAAAGGACTGAAGATCAAAATCACACTTAGCAAGGACTGCCAAGAATGGTAGAAAACTAAGAACGTAATGTACAGTTTTTGCCTCATTCTTCAGCCACCTGTCTAAACCGACAGACCAAAATGTCATTGCTATGACAACAAATCTTTACACCTGCTGGTGACAAGTGATCATTAAGGTTCCCTTAACATTTGCTAACCACAGTCATTATGTGACAATTTTCCAACCACAGTTATTATGTGACAATTTGAAAACATTCTTAGTCTAAAGATGTCTTCTGAAAGTCCATTTTCTCGGTATATTAGAATAAAAAGTGACCCCAAAATTTTGAAAACTTGAAATGGGCAAGTGGGAAAAGGGGTGGGTATATTCAGTGTACTATTACAGCCCATCTCCCACTGTATTCTCGTTTTGCTTTAAATTTACTGGGTAGCTTTGTTTGATTAAAAAAATTCCTTGTGAATTTATTGATTTTTTCGCGTGTATTTTGTCTTACAGCTTCCTTTTGAAAATTGGCTTGATCAGCTACCTATTTTTTTTTTTTTTTTTTTTTTTTTTTTTTTTTTTTTTTTTTGATGCTCAACACAGTACCAAACCATTTTTTAACTTCAAATTTGCCCAGCGGCTTTGTTAAAGAAAGAAAGAATCGTTCATTAAATTAGTAAAGACATTTAAAAGCTGGTTCCTCTAGAAAGTTGACTAGATAGGATTTTTATTAAGATTTTTGATTGTCTAAATATATTTTGGTTTCTTTGCTGTTTTGGTATACGTATTTGTCACCTTTGATGAGTCGTACTTCAATCTTTCTCGACGGTCCCTTTCTAAAGTGGGCACAATGAGATTATTTTTTAATTTTTTTCTTTGGTATTTGGTGTCTGTACTTTTGTCAGTTTGCTACTTAGTTCATGATTGTGCTTTTATAAGTGATAACATTTTCTTACCATACCGATCTTTTCCAAGTTGTTCTCAGAGCGCATGTAGTAATTTCACTACACAGCAGCAATTATCGCCTTGACTTTTCATTCTCACGTTATCAAGCCCTTATTGTGATGTGATAACTATTCCGGTGAAAATGTTCTATTCAGTAAGTGGAGGTAAGAGTGTTATTTGATCACGGAAAGCGCTGCTAGAATGTAATTGGCCACCGGCTTTTAATAAAAAAAGGGATTTTTTTCGTTTAAGTGAAAGACTCAAGTTGCCGTATTATTAAATGGAATTGCCATGTTGTAATTAAGCCCGTCGATACATTTCCAGGGGCACATTCTATACGAGTCCAAGTTAATACTCTCTGGCTTGACAAACACCTTGTCTGAATCAGAGAGAAGCACTGGGTAGACGACGGAAGCGAGGAAATTTTCTGATCACGAAACGTTCGCAAAATGCTTTCTCATTCTAAATATACCGCAATAAGCCAATGAGATATCGGGGATATTCACCTTGGTTATCCACTTTTTACATCTTGTTTTGTTTTATGATCTAATTAGGCGCACACTGTCTTATTTTTCAGTATAAGTATATATATAAAAGATTATTTTTATAGAAATCTTGAAAGCGTACACCTATAATGTTGTTTCTCTTAAGAAAAAAAAAAAGCGAATTTGAGACAAGACGCTTGTTATAAAAGGTCTTCCCTTATGAAAGAAATTGTGGATAAAGCGAATACAATTCGCCGTATTACATTATCTTATTTTCCTTGCTCAGCGATCTTCAGTTTATATCTTTAAAATTAATGTGTGAAGGCAATCGAGCAATGTCATGTATGTAATTGGTTGTCTTTGATGAAAAGACAACGGGTAAGGTTGCCTGATGAGTTTTAGTAATAAATATATATTTAAAAGAAAGGCTAAAATGGGCAAAATAAATTCGATCACTATTGTGCCCAATAACGACTAATAGTCTATAATTACAGGCGTTGTGAACGAAGTGCAGGCGTACAAATTGCAGTTTCAAAGTTTATAGGCTTATGATGATGCTAGAATCCTTTCCAAAAAATATCGGCCTAATCTATCGTGTTTAGTAAGATATTAAATATCAGTATTAAAATACCAGTCAGTATTAGGGCTTTTTGAGAGTAGATGCTGAAACTACAACTCTTGAACCTCGAAGTGCCGTATTCCTAGTTATTGTCCTTGCGTGAGGGGTTAACGGAAGCTAGGATTCACGAGTGGCGTTGTAACAGGCAGCGTGACACAGCACTTCTAACAAGCAAGCCACAGGAGACAGTGAACCAGTGAAGCATGCCACACTGGAGACCGACTCCCTGAAGGACCCTTCGTACTTTACACATGATGAAGCAGCTGACACAATGAGCAACAGGAAAATGTAATTGTGCCGCAACACCCCTTAAGCTATCCTGATTTCTTAGAACTGGAAGTATTTTTAAACAACCCCATGGGATAAAATTGGACCAAATACAATAAAATTACATTGCCAGTACCTCGTACGAACCCTAATATCGGAGACGTCTAATGTCTAAATTTGTTTTCATAAATACTTTACTATCGTCATAAACGCCACGTGCTAGTCTAATGGTAAATACGTGAGGGGATCTGAGACACGGGATTCTCTGCATCATTTACATTTGAAATTACGTCATATCTTGAAAATGACGTTTGCTGCGAGTTGGGTTCGATTTAAAAACACGATTGAGTTTTCATAATTAGGAGCTATCCGTTGAAAACATCTTACCATTTGTATATGCTGGGTAATTTCTCCAAGGAAATAGTCTGATGATTTTTTCTAAGAAGTCGGCACTTGTGGCTGTTGCGTGCATATATATATATATATATACATATAGCAACAGCCTCTAGTGACAAGTATAAGGATAATTATCTTTGGAGGGGCACTCAAAAAGACATGACATTGGTGTGCACTTCTTTTCTGCTCTATTTTTAATTATCAACATATTGTATATTAACCGTCAAATTATGAAAAAGGCAGATTTTGAAGAATCTATACGTGTTACTGGTACTAAAATTAATAGAAATGGGAGTGCTGGCAGTATTGTGGGTAGCCTACGTGTTACGAACGTGCATGAGTGTAGATGGAGCAATTATAGCTTATTCAAATACACGTCAGGAAGATCCTTTCGGTTTTGACGCTTTATAATTATGTGTGAGGCTGGACAATGTTTCCGAGTGTTTTGAACAGACAACTTTCTTAAAGAATATACGTAGGCTGGGCGCATAATAGGGAAACCTGATCGATTTCAATATACATCACTCCCTCGTAGTAAGTCAAACTGTGGAAGTTAAAGTCGTGTTAGTGAGGACTTTGCAAGTGTGAATGACAAGATGCAAGACACACAGCGTAATACCTCAACAGATCTTTTTACCAACGCAACATCAGCAGCGAAAAGATCGTGCCAAGGCGGAGAATGCATTCCTTACATAGTTATTGAGGGTGCCATAGCCATCATCGCCATTCTAGCCAATGTCTTAACGATTCTTGCTTTTTATCGCTTCAAAGGGCTGCGAACCAACACAAACACCATTATTGTGAGCCTAGCAGCCGTGGACCTGTTGACCGGGCTGGTGGGCATGCCTTATCACATCGTCTCAGCCTACCTGGTCACTAGCGTGGACTCTTTACACCACCTGTCTTTTAATAAATATTTTTGCCTGGGCAAAATAACGGCGTTTGGGGCCTTGAACTCCATTTCATTTCTTCACCAACTTTTGATCGCTGTTGAGAGATGCATAAAAATATGCTGGAGTCAGAGCTACCTGAAGCTGATGTCAACCAGAAAGGTGGGGCTCGGGATCGCTTCTCTGTGGCTGTACGTCATGCTGATGTTCTGCCCCCCTTTTCTCGGCTGGAACAGCTGGTCGCCAGGCGTGGAGTGCAGGGCCAATATTTCCATGGAGCAGTTCACTCGGTATGTGGTGTCTCCTCACATTCCCATTTGCCTAGTGACGGCGTATGGCTGTTACTTCGGAATTTTTCGACATGTTCGAAAACAGAAAAATAAACTCAGACCGTACGGTAACGCAGGGAGTAATGGTACCGGCATAGGCAGAAACCGTCCCCAGATGGAATCCAACGAATTGCCAAACGTGCCTGCGCCATTGCACCCGGCGGCTCCAGATGCGGCCATTGCAGGAACATCGTCTAAAACGCATGAATATGAAACAGAGTCTCTGGGCAGGAAGGAAAACACCTCCAACAAAATCAACGGGGAAACCCTCTCTTCCCAAGTAGGACTGTCACAGCCAGGAGATAGCAAGGGGAATCACGGCCAAGGTTCGTCTCAGATTGGCGCCGCTGACCAACGGATCCAAGGTGAAATGAAGCGTCCCTCCCCGGCCGTAGCTTGGGGTGAGGACAACACCACATCGAGGAAAAGCGCACAGGGCAATGTTCCCAACCCGAAATTGACGGCACGAATCCGCAGCAAATGGATCAACCAAGGCCCGACTAGTAAGATGGAACTGAAAGTCGCCAAAATGACGGCCATCACGCTTATCTGGTTCACGACTTTGTACCTGCCATATCCTATTATAATAGCCACAGAGAATCACTTCGATATTGACAGTGTTATTCCAAATATCCTCTTTAATTTAGCTATAGTGTTGATCTCTTTAAGTTCCGCGATTAATCCGTTGATTTATGGGATCATGAATGCAAAATTCAAGGCGGCCTACTTGAAAATTCTAAAATTGAAATGACTCAATTAACATTAAAAACTTGTACCAGTAATACTAGTAAAGTAATATGTAAGACATGTCAGACATATTGATGTAGCTCTGCGATCAGTATACCAACTGCACGAGTTTCAAATTTGAGCTCTTTCGTATGATTGTCACGACATCTTTGGTAGCATTTCTCCGAAAAGGGCGCACTCATGCCACATCAGCGAGTCACGTTGATATATAATGTATATTTTAGTTATTGTTATTGTTAGTCACATTATTATTATCGTTGATCACAACGGCCGAAGCAACGGTTTACATTAATAAATTTAATACGCACCGTAAGTCACATCCGCAAGTCACAACTGTTATGTATATTGAAGTTATTTTTGGGATAAAATTACACGAGATTTGTTTGGCATGCTTTGTTATTTTTATGAAATACGTGAGCCATTTAAACACGCACGAAATCAATAGCAAAAGAGAGAAAATGAATTTGCAGTTAGAAAATAGAAGCCACCAAATGACATTGGTTTGCAGTAATCTTTATGTTGGAAAATATAATGCAAATTGCAACGGTTTCGTATTCAAAATGTGTTCAAAATTTAACGCTTATCACGAAGTTCCTTGAAGGACGAAAAATTTAATCGCCATATTGTTTTTTACCAACAACACTTATTTTGGTCTACATTGGTTGTTTACTGTATGTCTCAAGTAATTAAAATGATAGTCTTTTGGTCTTTATTCAAATCGTAAAATGTCAAAACACATCACGTGTAAGTCCCATATAAGTCGCGTATGTGTGTGTGTGTGTCTGTGTGTATGTGTGTGTGTGTGGAAACCGCAACAACAGCAACTTTAAAAAAAAGCAGATTAATTAAGGCTGTGTAGATCGAACCTGCTGGATCGATAACTTTTAATCTGAGCACAGCCTTACTTCTACAAATTCAGTGAAAATTTGCGTCATGACGCAACTCATCAGACAATATCGTATTGTGAAGTCCAGTGTGTTTTGGATAGACCTTGGAAGACTGAGCAATGCGTTATTCAACGGGAGATCTTAGAAAGGACGACAACACTCGTCATACTCCTCGACTAATGCTGCTGTCCGTGTGACAAGCGACGCTCTTATATAACCCTAACGAGTATGACCAGGTGTTGATAATGGCAAATATTCGCAAGGAGTAGAATAAACACGCAGACAACTTAAAAAGGTTGATGACTTTTCATTTGGTGACATAAAACGACTTTTCCTGGGGTAAATGATTATTTTTCCATGCGTACCAATGGTTAATGAATCTGTTCCGATATTCAAAGATAATAGATTTTTCTTTAAAAAAGAGTATCTGTGTTTAAGTACGGAGGGTTGCTATCAGTGACAGTCCATGCAATCTCGCGATATCCGGATATTATGATTAACCGCCGTTTTAGTGGTAAAATGCAATTTAAAACATTTTTATGCGCTGTTCACAATGTATTTATTGTGGCATTTTGAATGCCATATGAAGAGACGTCATGCAGTCACTTGAAGGGATAACAACTCTTCGTATGAGATTCATATTTCACAATAAACACATTGTAAACAACTTGGTACTATTTAGAACTATGATTCAACTAGTCAAAATTCTAATTTCAAGAGGAGACCATTGGTGTGATGTTTCTCAGAAATCGAAGGGGGGGGGGGTCAGGACCCCCCCTAACACTCCCCCCTTAATCCGCCACTGCCCTTCTTCCACAACAAAATTGTTGTAGTTTTGAGGCAGACTGCAGTGTCTAACTTAGCGCTTTCACCGTCCTCCTACAGCCTGCATGTTGACTAGCCAATGTTGGGAGGTCTCTGCAAAATTCTTCACTTAAAACCAACAATTTCCTTCACAGAATATATTGCTATAAGTCGCCAATAATTAAATATGTTTGGGTTTTTGAAATTTTCTCATACACAAAAATCACAATGACTTTTTGTTGAACAGACAGACAAGAAAAAATATTCGACTAGGGCGTGAGATATACAAATAATTGGTCATAGTCCCCATCTTAGCGGTCCTTTGAAAAGAAGAGCGTAAATTATAGCGTGTCAAAACAACTTTTATTGTGGAAAAAGGAGTTCCCTATTGAAACAGAAGGAAGATTATTTAAAAATAAGGTATTTTCTATTATCTATGTCTCTGAAAACTTTAAATATTACCTTCTAATCAAATTAACACCGTAATGTATTGAAGCAACAACAATATTCAATTTATAAATATAATAAAAGTTTATCATTCGTCTTCAAAACAACCACTGAAACATTATCATTACATCTGATTTTGAATACCTGTCAACAGTTGAAAATGGTGGAAAGTATATTTCTAAAAAAAACAAACCTTTCCATAACTAAAACCAAATGAATAAAAACCTATGAGTAAATGCAGAATTCCAGTGTTTTTCAACTTCACATAATAAGTTTAAAAGACATTTACAAATATCTCTTCCAAATCATGCTAACCTTACATTAATTTTTATTAAAATTAAACATATAACAAGGTGATGCAAATCAAAGGTGAAGAATGAGAAATTAAGTTTTCTTACACTACATGTTCTTCATAACACCAGGTATTAATATACACACGAGTTTGACTCAATTTTGTACTGAAATATTAGAATTGCACTTAATAAAGTTCCTTTTGTGATGTCTGTAACATGTACAGTGAAATGACCCTTTCAAAAAATCTATATGTACTAGTATCTCTCTACCTGTGTATATCAATACACTAAAGATTAGATCACAAGTTTCAAAGATAAATTTTCAAAAGATGGAAGTTGGTCACAAAATATTAATCAAAGTGAAGGAACCTTTAAATGCTTGTTGCTAGTACATGATATCATTATAATATTAAATGACAAGGAACATTTGACAGTGGGCAGATTTTTTTCAAAATATTAATCAAAGTGAAGGAACCTTTAAATGTTGTTGCTAGTACATGATATCATTATAATATTAAATGACAAGGAACATTTGACAGTGTACTGTATTCTCTTTAAATGTCCGTGGACCCCTAACTGATAATGTATGAAGTGAAAAAATAGCTTCTTAGAATCAGTTTTAAAAAAAGGATAAAATACATATTTGTGATAATATAAAACCTTCCTCAGTGTCTTGTTACATAACTTGTTACATACTGTAAATACAATTTAAAAGCAGTACTGGAGAGGGGTATGGATCTGGGTTTCTCTCTATCTAAACTTCAGTTTCATTGTATGTTGAAGGATGCCTAGGCCATGAGTTGATCAGGGAGGAGATTTTTCTCACTATCTGCTGACTTCTGATTTTTTGGGGGCCCAAAAAATCATTGGCCTAGGCGGTCCACGGAACCCCATGCAATATTTTCTAACTTTTTCCCTGGTTGATGTCCTTGCTTTCACTTTTGAGCACTTCAACAGGTATGACAGCACACGGATTATTGAGATATAAAGCAAATTTAGGAACAACAAGTCACTTGATTAGAGACTAAAGCAGATGTATCCAAGGTATCATTTTAAACTGACTCTTACAAGCAGAAGCTATATTTTCATTACTACATCGTGTCCTCTTGTCCAACTTTTAGCTGCCTCTATAGGTGGAGTAGCCATAGGGACTGAGGAGAAGGGGCACATGATAGTGCTGCTGGGGGTCTCTGATCTCAAAGACAACCTGAAATTGTATCGATAATGCATTCTTGAGTCAAACATTTGTTGTTGGAGGCAATAAACTGAAGTGGTACATGTGTAAGTAAAATTTCTGAAAACTATACAATATTTCACAAATATAATGCTGCAGGGCTCATTCCCAATGAAGCAATGGGTCTACATATAGATTGATCCAACTCCCTGGGAGCTCTTGCTGAATGCAATCAGATTAAAAGGTTAACATACCGCCTCTTTGTTTCAAATATAGTTGTATAAATACCAGCTTTTCTGTATTCTACTCAATGTCAAGAGGAGGCAGGATATTAATATGTTAATCTGATTCCACCCAGCAGGAGCCCCCAAGAAGTTGGATCAATCTATGGACCAATAGTTTCATTGGGAATGAGCCTTTAGTTTTACAAGTTCTTTTTTTAACCTTCTTGACATGGTGAAGAAAACTGAAGAAAAAACTTGTGGCAGATTTAAAAAATATATAAAGCTATTCACTCTTAACCAGAGCACACTTTAAAATTGCCTAGATTTATCTGGAGAATTTCTATAAAACATGAGAAGAAATAATGACCTACCTCAACATATGGATAGAATCCCTCTACCCCAAGCTGCTGGAAATATCCACCAGTATTAAAATTAATCTTGTATGTTCCTGGAACAAACTGATCTTGTGTAAGAAGTCTAGGGACTCTGCCATCGCTGTTTGTTGAACTGAGACAAAAAAGGGAAAAAAACTGAAGGTATCAACTGTACTCTCTACAAACAATTAAACAACTCAGTAAATATCCAGTCTAAGCATCCACAACTGTTACTTTATCTATTTTATTTATCAAACTTTATTAACTAAGGGTAAAAACTTGATAAAAGATGAGGATAAAATATACCATCCCTATGGCCCATGGTTTCTGTACTTACTTAACCAAGGGACTATTTATGTTGTTTGACTTCCAGCAGTTAGTCTAAAACATAATGACAAACCATATATCTTCCTACTCTAAAATCTTATTTGGCATCCCCCCCCCCCCTTCCAGAGCCTACTAACCTAGTGATGAGGTCAGTCCACTGTCCATTCTGACCTTTGATGGACACAGTCAGTTCAAGATTGGCTGCAGGACTTCCTCGCGCAGTGTCCAGCACATGAGTGGTCAAGGGGTTACCAGACATTGTTATAGCTGGATTGACCTGGAAAAACACGATACGGATGATTAAGAGTGTTGCAACATTAAACTTGGGAATAAAACAACAATATAAGCGGAAGGTGGGGTATATGTGTTTGTTTGTTTGTTTGTTTATGTGTGTGTGTGTGAGAGAGAGAGAGAGAGAGAGATTTGTGTCTATTTCAAGTGGAGTGCTACATTAACTAGGGTTACTATTTTTACCCGGTGGCCTTTAGATTCATCAACCAACAAAAGTGACAGCCCAGGTATGTGTCTGGGACCCACTAGCACCAGACTGCAAGATCGAATGCAAGCTGCAACTCAAACCTAGAGACTCGGTTCGTGCGCTCTGCAGTCTTCCACCTACCTCTCTACATCTGTCAGTTAAATGTTTCTGCAGGACCTCCAGTCGAACTTTACTCATGTATATTTCTGATCTCAAAATATGTTTGAATCAAACGGTATAACAGAGAAATTTCGCTTATGATGTCGTACACGTGAGGCGGAAGTAGGGAAATCCTTATTTACGCGCATGCGTACTAGCGCATGTTTTGGCGTAGTTAAAATGAATTTTTAGGCGCGCAAACACATTCGAATCGAATCTGTATCGTCGCAAGGCCTGCTTGGCATAGACGTGACGAGAATATACAGATATATATTGACTACAGTACACAAATGCTGAAAGGACATCTTTAAATACGTGCACTCTTTCAAGCATTTATTACAAAAATTTTTTTTTTATTATTGGCCCTACATTTATTTTTAGGCTATATAACTGTCGACAATTTAGAATTGTATATATCCTTGCAAAATATTTTTCGAGGTACGGCTAGAGGTAGGCAATAGTAAACAATAGGGTCTTTTTATATTTTTTTATTTTCTAAATTTTTTAAAGGATAGTAGGCTCCTACTGTGGTATCCTATAGTAGGCCTATTTGTTTGATTGAATTTTATGACGTCATTTAGAGAAAAAAGCTTCAATATCTTAGTCTACTGGTTTTTATTTATTCATTTATTTATTACAACCAGAGAGCTAGGATGAGCTATTTAAGGATACTTCATTTTCCTCTATCAGGCCTAAAATAACCATATAACGGCATAAGTTCGTAGCCTATAATCTTTTTTTAAATATAGGCCTATGTTCCATGGATTCTAGAGAAAACAGGCCTAGACTTCTAGGCCTCATGATATTTGAAACAGAAGTGAAAGGACCAAAGGCCTAATGGAGTCACAAAGACTTCCATTGTGCACAGGACATATATATACAGTGGCGGATTTAGAGAGGGGGGTCAGGGGGGGTCCTGACCCCCACCCCCTTCGGTTTTTGAAAAATACATCACACCAATATCCCCCTATTGAAGTTAGACCCTGTTTTATCCTCTTTCGTGATGGAGACTTATTGTGCCTTCAAATAAACCAGACTATAATTCAAATGAAAATGATTTCAACAGCAACCCCCCCAATCAAAATGTGCTGAACCCGTTGTAATTTGCATAACAGTACTTCGCTCAGCGCCTACGTGCGCACTACTCGTATCTTCTTGACTGGTCACTTGACAGCTGCACACAGTGAGGACAGGACGCTGATATGTGTGATGAAGTCGCAGAGCCGGAATTTTCATTCAGCTTCGAAAATTGTAAGAAATTTGTCATGTGAGTAAAAGCTTTTCATGTTTCTTACGAGTTCAAACTACCAGATAATAATTTCTTATCATTTTACTCGTTGTAAACTTTAATTTGGCCTGAGTAGTTGACTGGATTTGAGAAAAGTTGCATAGTGTTATTTTTAAAAATCTTGAGAAGCACGTGCTGCCAGCAAAACACAAATAATAATATGAAGAGAGTTATATTAAATATAGTTTGATTTTTGGTACCCAGATGCTGTCACTTCAACGTCACTCACTGTACGTAATAAGGCCACCTGAACACATTCCGTATTTTAAACACTTCCATAGTACATGAGCTTGATCTCAGGCCTACCCAACTACCAGACTCGGCACATAAGGATCCTGAATTAACCGGTATATCGGACCACACAACCCGTTTTCAAGGTGTGTGTCAGATCGCATTTCGGAGTATCAGTGAGAACACCGACAGGATGAGCCCGCGGTCGTCCTACAAAATTTGTTCTGGGGTATGATACTCTGAAATGCGATCTGACACACACCTTGAAAATGGGTAGTGTGGTCCGATATACCGTATAGGAACCCAATTATGACGTCATCCGTAAGATGACATATGTGTAAATGGGAAATAATTAAGTCACTGAACACTCAAGATTTTTTAATTAGCCAAAAGAATGTATGTAAGGCAGTATAAGGAGTTTTGGGTGACAATATCCTTAATTCCTTAGTCTTTGACTGGGTTCCTATACCTAGATCGATCTAACAGGATCGACCCATCTCGGTTTCTATCTAAATTGCTTTAAGCATTTAAAAGCGGCTTAGATGTCTGGTACGCCTACTGAAGCTGCTAAACAATAATTTATTTAAGTTGATTGCAATTTAGCGAGAATTCCCTCGGAGTTGGATCGATCCACAGTTAGTACAATAGGGTCTGGAAATGGTCCCTTTACCTTTTAAATGCTTTCCAAAAGTATTGGCTGCATTATTTCTTGTGATTCTTCTTATTTTTTAAATCTTGCATACAAACCCCGTTTAGTCAACTTTTCAAATTTGGTGTTCAGTTAGCCTCAATGTGATTTTTTCGGCATTTTCAGTTAATCTAATCTTTATTCGGATTCTCTGCTCTCGAAGATTGAAATATCGCCACTTAAACGTTTTTTTGATATTTCAGAACTGCAAACGCCTTTGTCGAGATCCTGCAGAGTGCACGTGCGCCTGACTAAAGCTTACCTGGTCTCCGAGACGCATTTTAAAATCTGCCGCAGATCCAGATCCATTGACACCTCAGATGCTATATGTTGAAAATTGTACATGATCTCTCTCTCTCTCTCTAATTAAAAAAAAAAAACAACACATTTTAACATATTGAAACGATGCACTAAGATCTATCATGTTCTCTTTAGAAATTATACTTAAAGTCTATCCTTTTTGTTTATATATATATATATATATATATATATATATATATATATATATATATATATATATATATATATATATATATATTTATATATATATATATATAATACCCTAGGCACTGATCATAATATTTTTAATTATACCTTAGGGCATGCTCTGTACAATCCAGTTTCTTTTTAAGTTCATATAATTGTGCAATAATGCAATAATTAAAGTGTTTAAAATGGCATGATGTTATTTTCAGAGTCTTTGCAAATCACAAATTTCAAAGTTGAGAATAAAAACGCAATTTTCACGACGTTGAAGATCGGGCAAGATTGTATATTTAGCCAATCAACTACCTCATCATCATATTATTATTTGCATTTTTTATTGTTAATATTTACACTTGTGAATGACGATTTATGAAAATAAATGCGGTTTTTGGGGGTAGTTTTTGATTCAATCTCAAATACAAAGAATTAAAGTAAAATTAATATGTACTGTAGTTTTAGAATTTATACTTTTCTCTACTTGGAATGCATTTTTGTTCTCCAGATTAGACCTAAAAGCGCTTTTAAATTTTGTAAATGAAAAATTTGAAATTAAAACAAAGCAGTTTAATTATAATGGCACAAATTGTTAATGAGTAAATTCTGTCGGTGCCAATTTTTAGATTTATCATTTCGGGTTAAATTCAAACGGTTAATATCGCCTGTCGGGCTATTCTTTGTCCAATGAATCCAGTCCTGTTCAAAGACTGTTCAATTTCCTAATTCTTTTATTATTTGAGCACATGAGGCCTCCAGTAAATATTTAATTGATTCTTCGTGGTTTTCTGTCATTAAAGATGTCATATAATAAATAATACATTGAAAACTTGGTCTTTGCTCGTAGATTGAAATGAATGATACTTGTATGACTGCTCTGATATGGGTGAGAGAAAAAAACGTCTAGTCTTTGGGCGCGTCTATCAAATTTGAGGGGTGAAAGGTGGGACAAGTCCATTCGATATGAGGGGTGTCAGATGGGGCGAGTTCGTTCAATTTTANAGGGCTTCCTCGGGCAGTGTCCAGCACATGAGTGGTCAAGGGGTTACCAGACATTGTTATATCTGGTTTTACCTGGAAAAACACGATACGGATGATTTTAACAGTGTTGCAACATTAAACTTGGGAATAAAACAACAATATAAGCGGCGGGTGGGGTACGTGTGTGTGTGTGTGTGTGTGTGTGTGTGTGTGTGTGTGTGAGTGAGAGAGAGAGATTTGTGTCTATTTCAAGTGGAGTGCGACATTAACTAGGGTTACTATTTTTACCCGGTAGGCTACATGTACAGTAGCAGTACATGTACTGTATATCAAAGGCTTAATTTTTCTGTCACAAGGACCATATAGATAGTGAAAAATTGTAGGGGACTTCCTTTCATGTCTGAAAAGACAAGCACATAAGGGCATTTACGCGTGGCCTTTAGATTAATCAACCAAGGTGACAGCCCAGGCACTTGACAGTTCGGTATGTGTCTGAGACCCACTAGCACCAGACTGCAAATTCGAATGCAAGCTGCAACTCAAACCCCGAGACTCGGTTCGTGCGCTCTGCAGTCTTCCACCTACCTCTCTACATCTGTCAGTTAAATGTTTCCGCAGGACCTCCAATCGAACTTTACTCATGTATATTTCTGATCTCAAAATATGTTTGAATCAAACGGTAGGCCTATAACAGAGAAATTTCGCTTATGATGTCGTACACGTGAAGCGGAAGTAGGGAAATCCCTATTTACGCGCATGCGTACTAGCGCATAGTTTTGGCGTAGTTAAAATGAATTTGTAGGCGCGCAAACACATTCGAATCGAATCTATATTGTCGCAAGGTCTACTTGGCATAGACGTGACGAGAATATACAGATATATATTGACTACAATACACAAATGCTGAAAGGACATCTTTAAATACGTGCACTCTTTCAAGCATTTATTACAAAAATAATTTTTTTATCATTGGCCCTACATTTATTTTTAGGCTATAAAACTGTCGAACGGACATAGTTTTAAATACAATTTAGAATTGTATATATCCTTGCAAAATATTTTTCGAGGTACGGCTAGAGGTAGGCAATAGTAAACAGTAGGGTCTTTTTTATATTTTTTTATTTTCTAAATTTTTTTAAGGATAGTAGGCTCCTACTGTGGTATCCTATAGTAGGCCTATTTGTTTGATTGAATTTTATGACGTCATTTAGACAAAAAGCTTCAATATCTTAGTCTACTGGTTTTTATTTATTCATTTATTTATTACAACCAGAGAGCTAGGATGAGCTATTTTAGGATACTTCATTTTCCTCTATCAGGCCTAAAATAACCATATAACGGCATAAGTTCGTAGCCTATAATCTTTTTTTAAATAGATGTTCCATGGATTCTAGAGAAAACAGGCCTAGACCTCTAGGCCTGTTTAAGTTCGAAACAGAAGTGTAAGGGCCAAAGGCCTAATGGAGTAACAAAGACTTCCATTGTACACAGGACATACAGTGGCGGATTTAGAGGGGGGTCAGGGGGGTCCTGACCCCCCTTTCGGTTTCTGTAAAATATATCACACCAATAACGCCCGCTTGAAGTTAGACCCTGTTTTATCCTCTTCCGTGATGGAGACTTATTGTGCCTTCAAATAATACCAGACTATAATTCAAATGAAAATTATTTCAACAGCAACCCCTCAATCAAAATGTGCTGAACCCGTTGTAATTTGCATAACAGTAAGTCGCTCAGCGCCTATGTGCGCACTACTCGTATCTTCTTGACTGGTCACTTGAGAGCTGCACACTGTGAGGACAGGACGCTGATAAGTGTGATGAAGTCGCAGAGCCGGAATTTTAATTCAGCTTCGAAAATTGTAAGAAATTTGTCATGTGAGTAAAAGCTTTTCATGTTTTTTGTACGAGTTCAAACTACCAGATAATAATTTCTTATTATTTTACTCGTTCTAAACTTTAATTTGGCCTGAGTAGTTGACTGGATTTGAGAAAAGTTGCATAGTGATATCTTTAAAAATCTTGAAAAGCACGTGCTGTCAGTAAAAACACAAAGAGAATATGAAGAAAGTTATATTAGATAGTTTGATATTTGGTGCCCTGATGCTGTCACTTCAATGTCACTGTACGTAATAGGCCACCTGAACACATTCCGTATTTTGAACACTTTCATAGTACATGTAATTGATCTGTTAGTGTGAATCGTGGGTGCTCAAATAAAAGAGAAATTTGAGAAACCGATTTTTCAGCTTTTACCCATAACACGCAATTATGACGTCATCCGTAAGATGACATATGTGTAAATTAATTAAGTCACTGAACACTCAAGATTTATTAATTAGCCAAAAGAATGTATGTAAGGCAGTATAAGGAGTTTTGGGCGAAGGGTGACAATATCCTCAATTCCTTAGTCTTTGACTGGCTTCCTATACCAGATCGATCTAACAGGATCGACCCATCTCGGTTTTTCGTTAAATTGCTTTTAGCATTTAAAAGCGGCTTAGATGTCTGGCACGCCTACTAAAGCTGCTAAACAATGATTTATTTAGGCTGATTGCAATTTAGCGAGAATTCCCTCGGATATAGATCGATCCACAGTTAGTACAATAGGGTCTGGAAATGGCCCCTTTACCTTTTAAATGCCTTCCAAAAGTAATGGCCGCATTATTTCTTGTGATTCTTCTTATCGTGAAATATGTTTTTTTTTAAATCTTGCATACAAACCCCGTTTAGTCGACTTTTTAAATTAGGTGTTCAGTTAGCCTCAATGTGATTTTTTTTCGGCATGAGCAGAGTTTTTTCCATTTTCAGTTAATCTAATCTTTATTCGGATTCTCTGCTCTCGAAAATTGAAATAACGCCACTTAAATGTTATTTGATATTTCAGAACTGCAAACGCCTTTGTCGAGATCCTGCAGAGATCCTGCAAAGCTTCCCTGGTCTCCGAGACACATTTTAAAATCTGCCGCAGGTCCAGATCCATTGACACCTCAGATGCTATATGTTGAAAATTGTACATGATCTCTCTCTCTCTCTTTCTCTCTCTCTCTCTGTTTAAAAAAAAAACACATTTAAACATATTGAAACGGTGCACTAAGATCGATCATGTTCTCTTTAGAAATTATACTTAAAATCTATCCTTTTTGTATATATATATATATAAATAAAAATATTATGATCAGTCCCTAGGGTATAATATATATACCTTAGGGCATGCTCTGTACATCATTTTATTTTGAACCAATCCAGTTTCTTTTTAAATTCATATCATTGTGCAATAATGCAATTATTAAAGTGTATAAGATGGCATGATGTTATTTTCAGAGTCTTTGCAAATCACAAATTTCAAAGTTGAGCGTAAAAACGCAATTTTCACGACGTTGAAGATCGTGCAAGATTGTATATTTAGCCAATCAACTACCTCATCATCATATTATTATTTGCATTGTATAAGTCATTTTTTATTGTTAATATTTACACTTGTGAATGACGATTTATGAAAATAAATGCGGTTTTTGGGGGTAGTTTTTTATTCAATCTCAAATACAAAGAATTAAAGTAAAATTGATATATACTGTAGTTTTAGAATTTATACTTTTCTCTACTTGGAATGCATTTTTGTTCTCCAGATTAGACCTAAAAGCGTTTTTAAATTTTGTAAATGAAAAATTTGAAATTAAAACAAAGCAGTTTAATTATAATGGCACAAATAATTAATGAGTAAATTCTGTCGGTGCCAACTTTTAGATTTATCATTTCGGGTTAAATTCAAACGGTTAATATCGCCTGTCGACCTATTCTTTGTCCAATGAATCCAGTCCTGTTCAAAGACTGTTCAATTTCCTAATTCTTTTATTATTTGAGCACATGAGGCCTCCAGTAAATATTTAATTGTTTCTTCGTGGTTTTCTGTCATTAAAGATGTCATATAATAAATAATACATTGAAAACTTGGTCTTTGCTCGTAGATTGAAATGAATGATACTTGTATGACTGCTCTGATATGGGAGAGAGAAAAAAACGTCTAGTCTTTGGGCGCGTCTATCAAATTTGAGGGGTGAAAGGTGGGACAAGTCCATTCGATATGAGGGATGTCAGATGGGGCGATCCCATTCCATTTTAGGGGAGTCAGGTGGGGCGAGTTCATTCCATTTTAGGGGTGACAGGTGGGGCGATTCCATTCCATTTTAGGGGAGTCAGGTTGGGCGAGTTCATTCCATTTGAGGGGTGACAGGTGGGGCGATTCCATTCCATTTTAGGGGTGACAGGTGGGGCGATTCCATTCCATTTAGGGGTGACAGGTGGGGCGATTCCATTCCATTTGAGTTGTGACAGGTGGGATGACCCCATTTCATTTGAGGGCCGGGTGACATGCATGTTGCTACAAACAAATTTAAATGTCATGTATAGTATGCAAGATTGTAAATTTGTACTAAATAATGAAATTTATATACTTTCAGCGGGCTAGACCTTAAATTTCCAATTTTGGAATTTACAAAATACTGTCTATAATTACAAAGCTTTAAACAATTTCAATTTTAAATATCGAACTGAATTGAACTTGAAACAGTTATCACAAATCTGTAATTTTCCCCCTTTCCCATTTTGATATTGCTGTACTGTGTTGTCTATATCAATATGAAAAAATAACGAGGAATTATAGAAATATTTATTCCGATTTGATATAAGAGATACATGAAATGGAGCATGATATATTTTAACCAAAGACCTTGTTGCTTGCAGGCCCATGTTGCACAGTTTCTCTGCGGGCTTCTGAAATGACAAAATAACGCATACAAATTTTGATCAAACCTACAGACTGAAATCAATTTGACTTATTTTAGAGAAGCGCAAAACATATAATTTGAACATTTTTCTTTTAAGAATATATGAAATAAATTACACATAACTTGGATGAAAGTACAATCAAGTTTTAATATACATGTAGTTGGTCGTGTAATGGAGGGCCAGAATACAGCA